TGACGTTATCGAACCAGACACGGGGAGAACTGAGGGAAAAGGACTGTAAGTTCAGCAAACTTCCCACAGGAGGAAAGAACCACCATGAATCTGGTCATGTGGTGAGTAGCAGCTACGCTAGGGGGAGGAGACTCTGGGGCGATGGGTTGCATGTGCAACGTACCAACGTCTCATTTGTAGTCTTGCTAATTAAGAACTTTTACAAGCTTATAAATTTCAAAGTACGTGACTGGTGTGGTCGAAACACCCATCATTATTCATTTACGTTTAAGGACAGCATGTGTGATCCAGGGCGTAAGGCAGAGCGGAGTAGAAACTAGCTTTTGGCCCGTTGACTTGCATTCATTGGCCTTGTTTGAGATGAGCAGCGCCTCGCCTGGAAACGAGACAAGAGCAGATGGACGCAGCAGGGGGCGTGGCTAAAAGCCGGTGTTCCAACTACAGTTGTGTTTTTGAGTTATAGCAGCTATTTAAGAGAAACCGTGCTTAATAAGCGTGTTACTACCCTGTAAGCTTGAGTGAAACAGTGGTAACGCGCTGCGGTAGGAAGAATCGATGAGGAAGCAAGGATAGTCAGAACAACAAGTTGGGCAGCTTTCCCTACACGGAGCTTGCAATGGCTGAAGTTAATGCGTTCATAAGAATGTAAAACTCTGGTGCCTGTTAGCAAGTGAAACACCCTCACATGCTTGTGGATATCATATATTGTATACATGTGCATATGAAGATGTGACTGTAATATAAAGGTTATCAGCTGCAGAGTTGCAGCGTGCTTTTAGGACAAACCCTCTGGAACAAAAGACATTTCCCTGTATGGCCTATAGTCATCATCAACGTGAGACGAGTTACAGAATACACGTGACCAACTAACATCTCGCATTCGACCACAGAATGTTTGGATCAAAATGGGAACCAATCAGATTAGATTAGATAAATAACAAGATGTTCCATCTAAATAACAAGAGGCATGAAAAGTAGATGTCTGTTTCATTAATGCCTAAAATAAGTACATAACTATTACAGCCGCTCAAACCTCTTAGAACAGAGAGACGACTAACAGAAGAACCGACTTAACTGAAGAACGCTGCTGATACTGGCTGGATAAACTTGTTTAAACAGGAGGCAACGAGCCGTCAGCTGGGTAAACACTTCAAAAAGATGTGGTGAAATTATCTTTTCTTATGAAGTTATTTATTGACCAAATGTTCCAGACCTAAGGGAAAAGACAAACATCTGACCAAAGGGTAGGAGCAACATGATGAGTAACTAAATACTGACAGCAGCCATTAAACAGCAACCCCAGCAGGTCAGAGGTTACAGGTATTTTGGTCTCAGAAGCGCTGATAAGACATCGCCTGAAGGCTAAAAACATCTCATCCCTGTTACACCCGTGCACCTTTGTGACACTAAATGTTGCGAGGCTGCGTGTGACAAATATTACTGCCAACATAACATTACATCTACCTGTAAAAAGCAGAAGACATGAATGAAACCTGAAAACACTGCTGCTGTGATCCTGGGAAATACTGAGTGACACATTCTGCTGAACTCGTGTAAAGTTTTAGTTATATTTTCAGAAGTCTCACTATTTTCTCAAATCTCTGACCAAAAGGTAGTTGAAAAGGTCGTGCATGAACAGGTAATACGTCTAAATGACCATCAGGTAACGGACATTTCCCCGTCTGGTCTCAGACAACATCATAGCACAGAAACTGCTTGTGTACGAATGTTTAACGACATCTTTATGGCTTTGGATTGAGGGTCCCATGTGGTTCTGGTACGTCAGGATCGGTCAGCAGCCTTTGATACCATCGATCATAACATCCTGATCTCCAGACTGCACACTTGGACTGGCATCTCAGGTTTGGCCCTTGACTGGTTCTGGTCGTACTTTTCTAACAGGACCTTTAGGGTCATGCTGGACGACTACTCATCCCAGTCGGGCTCCCATCCCTGGGGTCCCTCAAGGTTCCATTCTCGGCCCGTTACTGTTCTCCCTCTATATTCTGCCTTTAGGAGCCATTCTCAGACAGCATGCTATTTCATACCATCTATTTGCAGACGACTGCCGAATCTATTTTTCACCTAAACTCACGGACTCCACTAAACCTGTTTGATCGTCTCCATGACGTGAAGGAATGGTTGGCTGAGAACTTCTTCCATCTGAATGACTCTAAATCAGAGCTCATTGGACACTGCTATAGCGACCCAGTCACCTGACCTCCACTCTCTTTCTCCTCATGTAACTTCCTCTGCTTCAAACCTGGGAGTAAAAGTAGACCTGGTTCTGAAGATGGACGCTAGGTCAACAGCACAGTGAAGTCCTGCTTCTACCACCTAAGTCAATTTTCTAAATCAAAGTCCACCCTGAGTGTCCGCCTTCTAGAGTCGGTGATTCACACCCTCATCACATCCCGACTGGACTACTCCAATTCCTGTTTAGATGGCATCAGTAAAGCTGCTCTGTCCAAACTTCAGCAGAAGGTTTCTGATCGAAGCTGGCAGAAGACAGCACATCACACCCGTTCTTAACTTGCTGCACTGGCTGTCCGTTCAACTCAGAATCAGTTTCAAAATTCTGCTTCCTACATTTGAATCTTTGAACAGTCAGGCCCCTCCATCTCTGAGCAAACTCCTCCATTTCTACCAGCCTTCTTGTGCTCTTAGGTCTGCAGATCAGCTCCTCCTCACCGTCCCTAAGACACGTTTGAGGACTCGCGTTGGAAGGCTTTTTCTATCTGTGCCCTGTAGAACTCACTACCCCTTCAGGTTGGGCTGGCGCCCTCACTTGTAGTCCAAGTCTCCGCTGAAAACACTTCTTCTCCATGGCCTTTGAGGGGAAAAGCATTACTCCGTCATCCCCCTTCCTCTTTGGTTCTCTGATTTTATATCATGGTCTGTTTTAATGGTTTCAACTCGTCTTTGTTGTACACGTTTTTATGATGTGACTGCTTTATGCTTTGTGTGCAGCACTTTGGGTGGCTGTAATGTTCAAAGGGCTTTATAAATGAAAGTGGAAAGGTAAATCAATAAGAAAAGACCCGTCTGCCTTTGTAAAGTAAAATAGAGACGTTCCAGTGGTTTTACACGTGTGAAAGCTCAGTTTCCTGTTAAAATCTGGTATTCAGGCTTGTGGTTGGTTGGGAAGTTAAAGCTCGTAGCGCCATCTACTGACAACATACCAGTAATGCAACAACAAACCACAGCTCAGCGCTGCAGCTTCATAATTCATCACACTCAGTTTTCCACCAAAACAGAAGAAATGAAGATTCCGGAAATGTCTCAGAGCACGTCACCAAGTAGACGTTCCGGTACCGCTCAGTTCATTCAAGGTTTCCTGTAGAAGGAACCCAGCAGGTTACATCGATTCACTGATCAATTTACTCTAGAGGCCATTTCTTCAGAAAAATGTAAAAAACAGCTGATGCGCTCTATTCTAACCTTTTTGTTTCCTGAGCTTTGTCTCTGCTACCCAAACTCCTACGTACAGGAACGTCAGGTACGCTAACAGAACGAGTTTGTGGTTTCAGAGCCTTGTTCGGGCCCCGACTCCACCACAGCAGCATGAAATGGCACCTTCTGTGGAGAGTATGATCCTGTGAAGATGCTCCTGTTCCACCTTCGTAACAGAGAGTCCAGACTCAGCAGATGGAAATACCGACAGTTTATTCTCTACCTTCTGCGACTACACAAGTGATGAAACACATGAACACTGAACAAAGCTGATGACATCATCACTTGCTTCTCAGACTTCTTTCTTTTTGATTTTGAACCACAACAGATGATATTGCACAGCACCGACAAAAGTAGTAGAGCCTGGAAAACACACACACACGCACGCACGCACGCGCATGCGCACGCACACGCACACACGCACACACACACGCACACACACACACACACACACACACACACGCGCGCACACACACACACACACACACACACACACACACACTGAAGAGCCTTTGTGTGCTGAGCAGGAGGTCGTACAAACACGGTGGACCAGCTCAGGGGATTTTTACTGGAAACAAACGTGAACTTTAGTTGGTTCTGTATCCAGTCGACACCAGAACCCTTCAAGCATCTGTGTGTGTGAACAACACGAGGACACCCGTCTGCGGGAGAGAAACAGTGGTCCCCCAGCCACAGAAATCCAGATGATTGTCTTAGGCATGGCAGTATTGTTACGAGACTTGTTGCCAAGCTGCCCATCATATGGAAACTCCTTTAGAACAAATTAAATCACAGATAATCCATCCATCCATCCATTTTCATCCACTTATCCGGAGTCGGGTCGCAGGGGCAGTAGCCTAAGGCGAGAGGCCCAGACTTCCCTCTCCCCAGCCACTTGGGCCAGCTCCTCCGGGGGAATCCCAAGGTGTTCCCTGGCCAGGTGAGAGACATAGTCCCTCCACCGTGTCCTGGGTCTACCTTTAGGTCTCCTCCTGGTTGGACGTGCCCAGAAAACCTCACCAGGGAGGTCCAGGAGGCATCCTGACCAGATGCCCGAGCCACCTCAACTGGCTCCTCTCGATGTGGCGGAGCAGCGGGTCTACTCCGAGCCCCTCCTGATGACCGAGCTTCTCACCCATCACAGATCACAAATCAAAGATATTGTCAATAAAATGGTAAAAAATAGGTCACACACACACACACACACACACACACACACACACACACACACACACACACACACACACACACACACACACACACACACACACAGAGATTCCAGTCAGGTTCTCTGTAGTTTTATTAGACAATGCTTCCAGCCGGGTCACGGGTCGGTACCATCAGAACAGACACTAGATGGAGCGCGGCGCTGAGCCACGGGGTTAAACCAGACCCAGCTCCGTGGCTCAGCGCCCGGCAGACCTGCTGCCCGCCTACGCTCCACCTGAGTCGGTTCAGACGACAGCGAGGTGAGCGGGTCTCGTGGCCCTCGTCTTCAGAAGCTCCAGATTGTACATAGCCCCCCCCCCCCCCCCCCCCCCCCCAGGTTGAGCTTGCCTACAGCCTCCTACGGTCTGCACCTGTGCCACCGGCCAGTAAAAACTCAACACGTCCACCTCACAAATGCCAGTGCTTATTCAAAACTTTATACATATTTTTCTCCAACTTAGTATTTTTGGTTTGTTTTAAAAGTCTTTGGATGTGCAGCAATACCCATAAAGTAACAGAAACGACAGGATTACAAAAACACACGTTCACACTGCTTTTTGCCAGCTGGTTCAACAAAGTAGCTCCTGTTTAAGTTTGCAGGTGCAGCAAATCACCCGTGTGGATGAGTGGCAGTGTTCACAACAGACAGAAACGCCGGCCAGGACTCACAGAAGAGCGTCAGGAAACAGCTCCTTTGTGAGTTGGAGCAGGAAAAGTAAGGCTGTAACACAATCGGACTCTTTGGTTTCTCTCCAAAAACCTTCTATGTACAAATCTAGAGTTTCTACAAATGCATAAATTAATACAAATGCAATAAAATTAAAATCACATCACAGACATAGGTAAAATAGAAACACTGAACACAACATCACAGCTGTTGGTTTTACCCTGTAAAAGTAATCGATTACCATCAGAATACAGGCAGAACCCAAGGTTCTCACTCCATCCCTTCAGTTTCTCACATCAACCCTGAAAGTTCTCCTCTGTGACTTGAAGCAGAACATTTATGAAGATTCTTTTGCTCCAGACATGGAAGGTCGTGTTGGGAGTTCTTATTTACCTGACACGTTTAGACCGACGACCGCGGTCTTCATCAGAAGTGTCGCTGGTGCTCTTCCACTGATAAGATGCGTCGCACCAGCTACACTTCTGATGAAGACCGCGGTCGTCGG